GATCCTTCCGCCTCAGCCTTCCGAGTAGCCGGAATTACAGGCATGCGCTACCACGCCCGGCTGATTTTTTGATTTATTGTAGAGATGAGGTCTCGCTGCCCAGGCGGGTCTCGAACCCGCGGACTCATGCAATCCACTCACCTCAGCCTCCCAAAGGCGCGGGATTACAGGCTGAGCCACCGAGCCCGGCTTAGCTCTATCTCTTTAAGATTAAATTTGCAATGAAATTACTGGATCAAAGGATATATACTTTTAAGGCAGGCACCTGATTCATACTATCAAACTGTCTTCTAGAAAACCAGTATCAGTTTCTATTCCTGCCAGCAGTATGACTGTGTCTATGTCTTTATAACCTATGAGTTATTATCTTAAAGAAGGAGAAAGAAGAGGAAGAGGAGGAGGAGGAAGAAGAAGAGGAGGGGAGGAGAGGAAGACTTAAAAAAGACTTGAGAAACAATAAAACATCTATAATGAACCATAATGTGTCTCTAAATCTTTGGTTCAAATCCAGTTAAGAACTAGAATGGCCAGTTAATCGTCACCAGGGAATAATGCAGAAAAAAGATCAGTCCTTAACTGACTCTTCTTCTGTCTTACACTAAAAAGAAACTTCTGTTCTTTGCAGCATAAAAGAAATACACTACCTCCCATCATTAGAGGGGGGACCTTTGCAAGACACAGGCAAGAACACTGTCTCATAACTGGTAATATAAACGTACTAGGGAAACTGGAGTGACTTCTATTTCACAGAAATAACAATCCTACACTTACTCATGTACTCCATACATTCCACAATACCTTTGGTTACCTAAATTGTTAAAATGAAAAAAGGATAATGGAGAAATTATGGCAATACTTGAAGAGAACATTAAGATTTCAAAATAAAAATAAAAAATCCATTCTATCAGACATATGAAGATGGCAGAAAAATTACTTTGACTCAATGATTGAATTGCCCAGCTGGCTTACAAAGATAGATAGTTTCACTTATCATTACGCTTTCCAGAGAGCACCAGGGTAGTCACAGAGCACTGTGGAAGAAGGTTGGTGGCAATTAGCTTACCCCTTTCTGTGACTGTTAGCTCTGTCACAGGAATATTATGGTGCACATCTGGGGGATTCTTCACAGCACAGCTGAATGTCCCATTGTCCTTTATGGTAGGGTTGCTTATGCTTATGGATGCATCTCCTTTGTATACATTTCCAACCCAGGAAATCCGATCCCGAAATATGCCTGCTGTGGTTGGGTACTGGAAAGACTGATAATGAAAAATCTAAGAAGGCAACACCATGAGAGAAAAAGTTAATTTGGAAAATGCAATGAAAATGTAAAACTAAGTAGATCCAAAATAAAATACAACTGTATAATGGATTTTTTTTTTCAGTTGGGCAACTTTTTATTGCTTTTTCTCATCTTCATCCTACAGGTAAAAAGATAAGTCAACAAAACTGGCCAGAAAAGGGCCTGGTGAGAGAATCCTGGGATTCTAACACTTGAATCTCTCCCAGATTCTCCCTAAAGTCCAAAGCAATAGTTCTCAACCACAAGAAACTAAACCTTCCAGGAGACATTTGGTGATAACTGGAGATATTTCTGATTGTCATAACTGGGGAAATAGGCTACTGGCATCCAGTAGGTAGAAGCTACAGAGGCTGTTAAATATCCTACAATTTACAAGACACTCCCACACAGTAAAGCACTGTCTGGCTCAAGATGTTAACAGTGCCAAAACTGGGAAACCTTGCTTTAAAGTAACATCTAATATTTGTATAGCACTCTATAGTTTGCAAATGGCTTTCACACCTCTACTCACTGGATTTCATAGCAACACTGAACTACATGAGGCAGGTATAATTATTCTAAATTTATAGAAAGAGAAACAAAGCCCAAACCAAAAAATAATGAGTGAGTTACTCAAAAGCATACAACTAGTGTGACAAAATGGAGATGTTTATTCTCAAAATCATCAGACGGTTGTAATGAAATTCAACCTCTCTCAAGTTATCGACCTTGGCAATGAACAGAAATCCCACATCAGATGCATGATAAGTACTCAATGAATGTATGTTGAATTAAGACGATGCCACTTCAGACTTGGTGATCAGACACTTCGTCACCAAAAGCACCTAACTATATTAATACCTTGAGGCAGGCCAGGCAGGTACTGTAGTATTTTGTATAATACAATATGACTTTTCTCTTTTATGCAAGATAGAGTCCTTTCCTCTTTTTTTGTTTACTTAGTACCTTCCCACTTAGGAACTGAATGTTTACAACCACTGAATTGCCCAATTTTGAAAAGTAACTTACGAGAGAAGATGCTGAATCACTCATTTGTTTATTTGTTTATGCATTCCTTCAACAAATGTCTTTTGTTGAAGGAATGTGTTAAGCAAAAGGATATTATGGGAGCCCCACAGGCACAGTCCCTACTCTCACAGAACTCACAGAACTTACATTCTAGCAGTAAAGACAGCTAATAAGAAATAATGTAGGTGATGAATTTTTCAAAGGGGGAGATAAATAATGCCCACCACTGATTATCAGCATCAATGTAAATGAGTTTGAAATTCTTTATCGTCAAAACAAGGCCTGCTATGCATCTTTAAAATTAATCAAGCCTGTAAATTCCATGTTAAAATCATGATACACCAATCCTTGCTAACTGGTTAATCTGAGAGAATCCTGACTGACTAACCATGTAACTGCAACACCATGTTAAATGACTTTAATTCCAACTTGGGTGAGTTTGCTGGTTTTCTGACCAGCCTCACAGGGAGCAGCACTAGAAGAGAACTGCTGCTTGCATTTAAGATTTCTGCCCCAAGAGGCTTCCCATGGCTTCTCTGTCCTACTTCTGACCAGGGAGGCAGAGCCAAATCAGGCCAGCCATAGTTTCCTGACCACTCAAAATCCAGTGAACTATTCCAAGTCTAAAGAAAAAGGGACCATGAATACAGCCTAGCTTCCTTCACTGGAGTCACCTACCTTGCCCCAAGCCATGTGGCTCCATTATGGCTTCCATAATGGCTCCTAAAACAGAATTCAAAGCTTATATATTAAACTCAAAGAGAAAATTTTTTCCAATTGAAGAAACAGGATAGGCAGACAGCACACATTCTCACTGTTGTCCTGCCCATTGTTCCCTTCACAACGTATCTTTAATAAATCTACCTGTCTTAATTTAAAAAAAAGAAAACAGGAAAAATAAATAAACAATACTTTCAAAAATACAATATTACATACAGCTATGACAGCCAAATTCTTGAATAACATCCATCCTGAACTAAGACTACTGCTGGAAGCATAAAGAGAAAGGATTTTTATAGCATTTTAATCTTCAATTAGACACCCACAATGGAATTTGGACCAAAAATGTGTTTTATATGTGTGACTAAAGTATATTGCTTCCAATATTGCAAGACCATCTGTCACCGACATCTGTCACCAACACAAGGTGCCACCATTTCCTTCAAAGTCAACTATACAAATCAATGCAGATGTTTACACACTGGGAGAAGGTGCCAAGATAAATCTACAGAGTACAGATATACAAACTGCTATATCCATTAAGACACTTAATACAACAGAAAATGAGTAGCCTTAAGAGAAAGGGGGTCTATGACTGGGACCTATGGAATTTTTCAATTCAACAGTCCTGGAGGTACCCTTTTAGAAGTACATCAAATGTGAAAATGAAGCTATTAAACTATGCAAAAAGAAAAACACAGAGGAAATAAAATTAAACCACATTCCCTCTGAGTTTCTGACAATTTTTTTCCTACAGCTCATTTACAAGATTCTTGCATGGAAGAATAAAAAACCCTACATGGCCAAATGAATGCCACATAGGGCAAGAGCTCAACACTTCTATTTTAATAGAAGCCCACCTTCTACTCTAAGATGAGAAGGCCTCATGTGTGCCTGTAACTTACAATAAACAGATTTCAAAACTGTTAACCACAGGAGACTTAAACTTTTTTAAAAGCACACACTTACTGATTCTGTGCGACTGCTGCTGGGAGGGCGATATGTCCAGTCTATGGTGAGCTTGTCAGTGACTTCTGAACTAGACTTGAAGGTGCATCTCAACTTGATCTTTTCTCCAACATAACCTCGGACATGGGCATCTGCCTTAATCTCCAAGGAAAGGACGATATAAACACCTAATCAAAGCCAAACATTTAAAATGCATTCATTTGGGTCAAATATATAGAAGTGAGTGAATATTAGAGAGATGTTATTTATCATTTTTAGGGTTCTCATAAAAAAGTCAGAGCAATAAATGTCTTCTTAGGCCAGCCCACAGGAACAAGGAGCTGATACCTGCATTAATCAGAGATAGTATTTTTAAATCATTTTGTAATCTTAAACCATAGACTGGGGTCAGGTACAATGGCTCACATCTGTAATCCCAGCACTTTGGGAGGCTAAGGTGGGAGGACTACTTGAGCCCAGCTCGAGATCAACCTAGGCAACATAGGGAGACCTCATCTCTACACAAAAATCAAAAATTAACTGGACATGGTAGTACACACCTGTAATCTCAGCTACTCAGGAGGCTGAGGCAGAAGGATCACCTGAACCCAGGAGGTTGAGGCTACAGTGAGCCTTGATTGTGCCGCTACACTGTAGTAGTCTGGGCAACAGAGTGAGACCCTGACTCAAAAAAAAGTTTTTAAAAAATGTTTAAATCATAAACTGGTAAAAATGTAAAACCTAGCCAGGCTCGGTGGCTCAGCCTATAATCCTGAGTGGATTGCCTGAGCCCGCGGGTTCAAGACCTGCCTGGGCAACTTGGCGAGACCTCATCTCTACAATAAATCAAAAAATCAGCCAGGCGTGGTAGCGCGTACCTGTAGTTCCAGCTACTTAGAAGGCTGAGGCGGAAGGATCGCCGAAGTCCAGCAGGTTGAGGCTGCGGTGGCCAGGAGCGGCCACTGCACTCCAGTCTGGGTGACCGAGTGT